TCCCCCCAACCCACCTCAACATCCCAGTCTGCTCAGAAACCAGGCTCCAGGGGCTTGGTGCTCAGCCTCAAGGGTCCGTCTTTCAGGCCAGGACTCCCGAGCCCAGGGCTCACACTCAGCCCCAGGGCCAGGTGCTGGTGTCCGTGAAGCAGGGAGCGGAGAACAGAACGAGGTGTCTTCATTTCCCGGCAGCAGATCGCTGACAGACCCGGGCCAGACCAAGCCTGGGAGGGTGGGCAGAGGCAGGAGCTAGGGAGCCTGGGGGCCCCACAGTCCCAGGGGTAAGCAGGAGCCCCCAGTCCAGCCTCTGAGACTCAGGCCAGCCACCCATCCGCACCCCCACAGAGCAGACCCCCACTTCTGCCAGGCCTGTCAGGCCCTTCCTGGGGGTATGGGTGAGAACTCCCCGTACTCAGATGAGGGCACATTGCTGGGGTCGGGTCAGACTACCCTGGTGGTGCCTGAGGCCCAGAACTAGGATGGGGAGAGGAGACGAAGAGCAGGGCACCCAGGCTGGGCCTCCAGCTGACCTGTCCACTCTCCCACATGTCTGCAATCATCACAAAGGCCACACAGCCCTGGAAGGGCTTGGGAAGGCGGGTGGGCACCAACTCCATGCTGGGGGGCAGGGCACAGCCGCATCCAGCCTGGAGGGAGACAGACCTCAGGGCTCTGGGGACACAGGGAACCCTGGAGACCTGTCACCAGAAAGCTCCTGCTGTGACAAGAGAATTGTCTCACACAGGCCAGAAAAGCACAAAGAAACAAGTGTCCCGATCACGACGCGCCATCCTATGTGTCCTCATGTGCTGAGACAGCCAGGCTGAGACCCCGAAGCTGGCAGAGCCCTGGGAGAGGCTGGGCACAGGAGGGGCAAGGGAGGCAAGCAGGGCGCGTATCCAGAGGGGAGCTGAGCCTGGGGTTCACTCCTCCTCCTCCCTGCTGAGCGCTAGGTGGGGCGGGGAGGCGACCCAGAGGGTCAGGACCTCCTGTTGCTTACCCCACCTGTTTCACAGGGTCCCCTGATCTGCACTGTACCTGAGGTCCGTCCCCTGAAACAGCCCCTGTGCCAGCTGCTGTGGCAGGGGCAGGGGCAGCCTCCGAGTGGGATGCGAGCCAGGTCTGACGCCTCAAGATGTGTCTGCACGGCCGCGTCTTACCTCCCTGGTGCTGCAGTAACAAGGATACCACAAGGGGGTGGGTTTGACAAACAGAAATTTACTCTCTCTCAGTGCAGGAGGCTAGAAGCCTGGAGGCAGGGTGCCGGTTCTGGAGGAAGGTCCTCATCTCTTTTCCGCGTCTGCTGCTGGGCGATCTGCGTGTCTCCTGGTGCCTCCCTTCCCCATCTCTGCCTGCTGCTCCTTTAATCTCTTTTCCATCTCAAAGGTGGTTGCTCAGAACATACCCTGCTCATCCTGTCTCGTGAACAGACAACCCACTCCCAGATGGGATCAGAGCCACAGGCGGGGAGGCTAGGCTACATGTGGGGGACACCGTTCAGGCCATAGCACCCCCCAGCTCCATGACAGATGAACTGGACCTGTCTTCCATGCCACCGGCACGGGGTGCGGTGGTTCTCCTGTGGCTGCGAGAGAAGCATTTCCAGTCCGCAGAGGACGCGGTGCAATCAGAGGCTCTCAAAGCACGGCGGTAAGGGGGCACGTGAGCCAGCGCTCTCGAAACGGACTGAAAGGGTGCCCGACACCGTCAGGGGCTATCGCCAGCCGTGGAGTCACCTCAGCTCCTCTTGAGCCCATGCGATGCGGGAGGACTGCCCCACAGGGTGCCCCAGGCTGTCAGCTTTACCCGAATGGGCCACCAGGTCTTTCTCCCAGGAAGCCACTGGGTGGGTTTGAACTGCCCACCTTCCCCTTAGCAGCCAAGCGTCCACCAAGTCTCCTTAAAAGACACCATAAGGAAAGATAAACCACAGAGAGCAGTTGTAAATCACATCTCTGAGGAAGGGTTTGTATCCAGACACCCACGGATTCTTACAGCTCAGTACAGCAAGAAAAACAATGTGACTCAAAGCTGGGTGAAGGATCTGAGCAAGCCTCTCACCAAAGGAATTAGATGAAGGCTGGTGAGCATCCAAGGAGCC